TCCTGAGAGGAGAAAGGAGGAGAAGGGATTGCGGCGTGGCCATCCCCCGTGGGGGGTGATTTCTCGCTTTCTGTCTCTCTGTCTCTGTCTGTCTGGCGAGCGCACGTGCCCTATAGCGAAAAAACCTCTCCAAACAAACAAACAAACAAAAAAACCCAACAACGACAAAAAAATCAAACCTCTGCCCTCAGCCAGCTTTCTTGCACATAGACTGAGGGGGCACAGTAGGAAGTTCCACCTGCACTGCATTGCCATTACTGACCGGAGGCCAGGCATCGTTCCCTCCTTGGGGCGAGGGTTGGTGGACAGGGCAGGGGCAGAGCAGTGGGGCGCCCGGCCCGCGGACCGACCTTGCAGACCTGCGGGGTGTGAACGGTCCGTTCTGCTCCTTCGCTGGCAAACACTAGCTGAGCTACAGGTGCCAGGCAGGCACTGTTCTAACCATGCGAAAGAAGAGTCCTGCCGCCCAGATCGATTTTCCCCGAGTGAGCCAGGGAGCGGTAAACAGCCAGTTACAAAAATAACGCACCAGGGGACAGAACGCCATGTTGTGACAGGCTGCAGGGAGGCCTGGCCCAAGCTGCAAGCTGGCTTTGTGCAATAAGCAAAGGCTTCGAAGAGCAGCCCACGTGCAAGCCAAGTTCCTGCTGGCTGGGTCAGGGCTGGCAAGGAGAACCGGCATGAATGACCGGGAGGGGCCAGGGGAGGGAACTTGTTTGAGAAGACTGGGGTGCAGACTCGTCTCTGGGCTCCCAAGGTCAGGATTCAGGGCCTCAGTCCCTCACAGCTGCATGTAGTCCTGGGCTACAGTTGTCCCCTGGCCCCCAAGGATCTCCCTGCCTTAGAGGAGAGCAGAGCCCTCAGTGAGGGCTAGACAGGGCCTGCTGGGGCCCAAGGGCCTTCTTTCTAGAATTCTCCTTCCATAGACCACAAGTGTTTCAGGGGCCACTTCACGAGGCCAACAGCTTGGGGTTCAAAGCAGGCATCATCTATTCTGACCTAGGGCGAGGGAGGGTCGGACCTGGGGGAGCAGGGGTTGGACCACGATTGGGGGTGTCTCATTTCTGTTTTCTCTTTCTATTCTTGCGTGTCCATGGGTGGCCCAGTGCAGTTTTCCAGTGGGAGCTGGATCCCAAGCACATCACAGGCCTGCCTCCTCACGGTGCTAGTCCTCAGGAAACAGGTCAACCTGGGTGGAGGCTGTGGGCCAAGGTGCCAGTCCTCCTGGCCCTACAGAGGGCGTGGTGGTGGAAGGGGCACCGTGTGTGACCCCTGGCATTTCAGCAGCTGTGGAGGGCTCTCCTGCTGCTGCTTCCTCTCCTGGAGCTCGGCCATCCTCAGTTGTTGCCCCACCGTGTAGGTATTTCTGAAATGCTCGCCCAGGCAGCCGCTGTATCCCAAGGGCAGGCAGGGCGCTCACTCTCATTCTCTATGCGTACACACATGTTCTCTACCCAGATAACGAGAAGAAAGGTGCTAAGTGGGGCTCTCCTCTGGGCTGGCCAGATCCCAGGCTCTCCCAGCCCTTCCCACTAGAAGTCTGGGCCTGGCCTCCAGTCCCCGATTGGCAAGGAGTGAGGATCCCCAGGACCTGCACTTGGACCAGCAGGGGCTTCACTAGAGAGTCAGGCTGAGGCTGAGAGACTGAAAGGCGTGGGGCCGAATTGATGGGCAGAGCTGCCGTGCAGCCCTGGAGGCCCAGCTACCTTGGGAAGGCCGCTGCAGCACCTCAGACCCCAGGTCCTGTGTGCTCTCACTGCCCCACTCCTCCCTGCTCTGCACCTGCTCGGCAGCCTGCCTCAGGCTTAGAGTGGGAGACAGGGAAGGGTGCCGGGATGAGTGTGGGGCTGGGAAGCACAGTGACCGCCCAAAGTCAGGGTGAAGTGAGACATCAGAAGCAGGCTGGCGAGCAGCAGTCAGAGCCAGGGAGACCTCTCAACCTGGCTCCACCTCCAACTGGCTGGAGGTAGTCTCTGCCCTCCTCTGGGTCTCATCCTCCTTGAGTGCAATGGGTGGGTCTAGGTTAGTCTAGGGTGGCAAGTGGGTGTCTCTCATGTGCTGAGTTGGATCATTTGTAACTGGCTTCCTGGAGTGCTGAGGATTCTGCGTGGAAAAGTTCTGTGATTGATTAGTAATGTCTGCCTTGGAGGAGTAAGATGTCCATCTATTATCTTGGTATTACTTTTATTATGCATCTAATTGAGCACTCATGACATGCCAGGCACTACTCTGAGCCGTTCACATGTAAGCCTTGCAACGACCCTGTGAGGTGGAGGTAGGTGCTATAATTCCAATCCTTTTATGAATGAAGTGGCCGAAGCATAGCCTTGGAGTACAAAGGCAGGGATTCCATTCTGGGCACCCCAGCTCGGATCCTTATGCATTTTCCATCATGGACACCACCTCCCCCTGGTGAGTCCTGAGACTCCTGCTCCTCTGACAACCTGTGGCTCTGTTGAAGCCAGTGGGGTCAGAAGCCAGCAGGTGATGGAGCCAGGAGAAGCACCGGTACAGAAAGGCGGGGTTAAGGATGCAGGGAGGGCTGGCACACTGCCAGGCATGCCATGACCCTTGAGGTGGGGGGGAGTCAAGGGGGGACGGAGTTTTATGCTTGTCCACCAGTTTGGAGACCTAGGGACCAGCAGGTGGCAGCACCTGGCAGGGCGAGAGCAAAGGGCAACTCCTGGCTCAGCATGGAAGGCCTGGGGATCAGAAGGCCCGAGGTCGAGGAAAGCAAGAACAAATGAGGGTGTGGAGGAAGGCTTGCCAGGGGTCAGAGCAGGAGGCCGAGCTCCAGCCCCGCGGGTGCAGCCACAGCGATGCGCGAGTCCCACCAGGCAGCGCAAGCCTCTCCGCCTGCATTTCATGGTGCCTGCTGTGGGCTTTTTCCCTCCACTCTGGGAGAATGACTAACTTTAAGGACTAAAAAAAAAGTGTTTTGATTACACTGCCTTTTTACCAACTGGGAGCATTAGTCACCGTGGCTTGCTGCAGATAGCGGGGAAGGCAGGCAGCACCCCCACCTCCCCCCCTTCTCTCCGATTAGCTCACAGATCCCAGGGAGGAGACACGAGTGAGAGTGTGTGCACCCAGGAGGGAAGACAATCCCCCTGGACGATCTGTTTCCCAGGCACAGGTCCAAGGGTTGCCGGGAGGTGGGGAGATGCTGGGCTGGAGGTGGTCCCAGACCCTCAGGGGGAGGTGCCCTCTGGAGAGACTGACAGCAGAGAGGACCACTGAGCCCATAGGGTCTGGGCTCTGAGTTGGCCTAGGTGTCCTGCTCCCCCCTACAGGCCCAGGACCCACCCAGACAGGGAAGGTAGAGGAAGTCACCAAGGATGTAGCTCCTGAGGTGGGCCTGACAGTGCTGACGTGGACCCAGACCTGCTCCCTGCTGGCCCTCAGGGCTCCGGCCTGGGTTCAGATACTCCTGGCAAGTGGGGATGGTGCCTTGACCCTGTCCCACGGCTCTGCCTCTCCTCCCTGTCCACTCTGGTGGAGGGACATCTGGTGCCTTGGGGGGGCCTTCCTGCCCGGAGTGGACTCTTTGCTCTCACCTTGGTCCTGGCCTGCAGGAGACCATTCTGGCTTGTAGCCTAGGGTGTCAGAAGTGGGAGCCTTGCTGGGGAGGGCACTGAAGCTGGAGCTGGGGCTGGGTCACTTCAGGGAGAGGCTGACCCTGGGGTCCTGCCCTTTAGATCATTCTTCCCCAGTATTGCTCCACTCTGAAAAGAAGACACTTAGCCCTGAGTGGCCCTTCAAGTGGCAGGACCATGAACACTGGAGTGAATTCCAAGCATTGGGACAAATGACCTTCTGTCTATAACAATCAAGAAGAAGACAAATGGCATTTTATTTCTGTCTCCCAAGGTCAGAGGACTTCATCTTGAGTTTGTAGCTGCCGATTCTCTTTGGAAAAAGAAAACATGGAGGGGTGCTGGGTGTTCTCTGGCTTCCACAAGCTTCCACGGCACCTTAGAGCAAATGGGCTCGAGAGAGGTAGAAGTGGGCTGTCCTGGAGGGAGAGGGCCTGGGAGGTGCCCCAGCAGGACCACCAGGAAGGCCTAGCCCAGCACTTCAGTGGGGGGAGTCTGGGGCCCGGTTTTGCGCTACCTGAACTGGGTCTTAGGTTTTGCTTTCCCAAGCACCTTAAGGTGGGGTGGCCTCTCCCCACGCCTGTCCTTGTCCTTTGTAACATAAGTGGCCACAGCAGAATCTCGCCGGCCCAGGGCACAGCATTCCCCATGCTCAGATAATGGATGCTTCGTAGGGACTCGGTGAGGCAGCTCCTCCAACCGTCTCCTTCACAGATGAGGGAACATCTGAACTGACCACTCAGGGCCACAGAGTCGGCCACGTGAGGAGGGCAGGCGTGGGACTCAGGCTGTCTACGGGGCCTTAGAGTAGGATGGAGAGTACCTGCAGGGGAGGGAGGTAGCGTCTACGGAAGCCTCATGCTCACCTCCCATCTCACCCCTATCCCTTCCTGGAGAAGGCAGAGGCGGGGGGAAGGGGGGGCAAAGGTGGAAGTAAAGTCCCTCTCGCTTTAGTCGCTGCCCTGCTTGGGTCAGCCTGTGTCGGGGGTGTCCCAGGTCTTGGAAGGCAGTGTGGACGGGACAAGGGTTGGG